GAGTTAAAAAGGTTTTACTGATGCCTTTTGTCCAGTAATTTCTTAATATACTACCCTCTACCCCCTAGTACCTTCCCTAGAAACTAAGAAAAATAGCCAGAAACAACTGATACTGGGTCCACATGACAGCATGTGCAGCATTCTGTATCTGTATCACCTTACCTCTCTACCTAGAAATGGGTAGATGTGCTTCATAGGGATTCTTAACCTCCATTGTGTTATGGACTCTGCTGGACAGTCTGGCAAAATCTATAGACCCCTTCTCAGAATAATATTTTTAAAATGAAAAAATAAAATATAGAATTACAAGGGAAACCAATGATACTGAGATAATGATGTGATTTTTTTTTCCCCATCTAAGTACATGGGCCTCCTGAAATCTAACCGTAGAACCATTGTTCTAGAGAGATTAAAACCTTTTGCCACAGTTTCAGCAAATATTTATTGTCTCCTGTGCGCAGAGAAACATGCTGAACACCAGGGAGGAGGGAAACACAAAGTTAAGATAGAATGAGTGTTAAGGAAAAGAATGCTGATTTTGGAGTCAGGATCTGGGTTCAGATTTAGCCCTGATGCTTCACTGGTGTAACATTGGGCAAATCACTTCTTCCATGGGCCTCAGTTTCCTCATCTGTAAAACAAGAGGCTCAGACAGGTCTGCCATCCTGACCCTGAAGTCCCTTCCTGCTCCAGATGCATGATCCTGCCTCTGCCCCTACAGCTAACAAGTCTGTAGGAGGGAGGAGGAGATAAGACACAGGCCTAGATAAACTACAGTCCATAATATAACATGGCAAGAGAGCTTCAGGAAGGCATAGACCTCCTTGGGTGGGTTTGTAGAATGTAGACAAATTGCCCAAGATGGGCCAGCATGGATGGTTGTGATCTGCCAGAATTGAGAGCCCCCATCAGTGAGATCACAGACTCACTGATGTGTCAAAGAAACTGCCTGAGAAAGTTACAAAAGCCAGGAGCTCTCAGAGTACTGAAGAGGGGTGTGGTTGCTGGTCAGAGGGAATCGTGGAAGGCTTCCTGTAAGAGGTAGCCTTTAAGACTATGTTTAAGGATTGGCAGGGGGAAAAAAAATTTTTAAAAAAAGGATTGCAAGAATTCACCAAGGACAGAAGAGTAAAGAATTTCACCACAGTGAAATAAGGGGAGTCAGACTAAACCACCATACGCACCAGAATAAATGGGGAAAAAAGAACAAATGCTGTCTAATTATGATTGATGACCAAGGTTGGCCTCAGAAAAGAGAGAGCATGCCTCTTCATTCTTTGCAAAGCTAGGGGGTACTATTGGCTTGGAACATGGGATATGCTATCAAACTCCTTTGGTTAATTTAGCCAAATTGTTGGTTTTATTTCACTTTTTGTTAATTTTCAGCAAGGTTTGGACCTCTGGGGATGAGGGAAGGCATAAATTAATAGATGAGGACAGTTACATAAACAAAACTCCGTTAAAAATGTTTTCAGTCGGTCAGCAAACATTTACTAAAATAGTACTTCCTTGGTGCCAAAGAAAGGGAAAACCAGTCCCTGCCCACAAAGGGCTTCCATTTTAACAAGGCAGGAAGTCAAGTCTACAGACATTTTTTTTAAAAGAGCTTGCTACTAAGTTCTGGGGATACTATGAAAATAACTAGGCACCCATAGAGAATAGATAGAAAATGATCTGAGAGAGGAGGGCCTCTTGCAGGAGGTGGGATTTGATGGAAGCCAAGGAGGCTGGGAGGGAGTGGTCCCAGGCATAAGTGACCAGCAGCAAAGCCCAGACTCTGGAGAGGGCGTGTTATACAAGAGGAGCAGGGAAGAATCCCATGTTGCTTGCTCGTAAAGGACATGAGTGGGAGAAAAGACTGGAAGGGGCCGGGTTGTAAAGAGTTTTTAACCAGAAGGCCCTCAGGGGACAAGGAGGAGTGAGAACCAGGTCCCAGAGATACTAAGGGCCAACTGATTCAGCCTTCTGACCATAGAGAAGGCCCCTGACAAAGTATCCATAGGTGTGAACCCCAAAACTTAGCATCTGCTAGCAAGCAGGGGCATGAGAGCAGTGTGTCTGACCAGCCAGGCGGCTCTTAATTGCAAGACAGATCAGTGAGTGAATGCTGGAGTAATGCCTTAAAACTAGCTCTTAATTACCACACATCCACTGGTAGGGAGATGCCGGCAAACCTTTAACATGAGCCAGTGGTTAGTCACTTCCTTGCTGAGGAGGCCAGGCCCTTGCACTAGGACCCTGGGCCCAGCTAACACATGAGGCCGTCTATGCATGTGGCATGACAGCAGAGCCCAGGAGTTAGGGAATCTAGGTGCAAACCCCATCCCAGACACTTGGTATCCAGGTGGCCCTGGCCAAGCTACTTCACCTTCCTAAGCCTCAGTAAAAAAGAAAAAAAAAATCTGTAAAATGGGGGAAATATATAATACCTATAGTCCCCATATCCGAGGGTGACAGTGGTGAGGTTCAAATGAAATAACATAAAAAGATTTGTAAACTTCATTTTTTTCAGGCAGTTAACTGGCTTGGTATAAAGGTTCTTAACTTTGCTTACTCTGTTAAAACTCTGGACCCCCTTCTCAATAATTTTTCTAAATGCGTAATAAAATACATAGGATAACAAAGGGACAGTTATCCAAGCATCTTTTAAAAAAAAAGTTCATTAACCCTTCTTACATATATGTATGTATACATATATATGTATATAGTATATTATAATGAATAGATAGATATTATAGTGGATACAGCCCTGGACTTGCAGTTAGGAAGACCCAAGTCCAAATCCTGCCTTAGAAACTTAATAGCTAGTGACCTTGGACAAGTCACTTTATTTTTCTCAGTCTCAGTTTCCTCTTCTGTAAATGTAACAACAGCATGTGCCTCCCAGGGTTGTTGTGGGGATCAAATGGGATCATATATGCACATTTGTGTTGTTTTGCAAACCTTAATGCTGTGTACGTGCTAGCTATAATTAGTCTTATCAGCAACCTTTGAAGTGCAGCATGAGTAGAGTCAGGATCTGGGTGCTTGGTCCCCACATTCAGTTTATCCTGGCAGACCAGGGCTGGTGTGACCATGATCCTTTCGAGAGGTTGGACTTGGGTAGCTGATTCTCCCAGGAATTAAGCCTTGCCTCCCGCCAAGTGGTAACAGGCTCTAAGAGCCCTCCCAGCTGTGACATCCTGTGTTCTAAGGGCCCTCCCATGCCTGACGTTCCCTGTTCTCAGGCTCCTCCCAGCTTTAATATTCAGTTCTAACAGCCTGTTTCTGACTCAGACATTCTTTGTTGTAGTCCCTTTTTTTTTTTGAAGAAATAGAATAATTTTTTCCTGGCTGACTCTGAAGGTAAACTGAGGCATTTTAAATCGGTCTAGTGGAGTCCAAAGGCACTGTCCATCTCTTACAGAACCACATGGCTCTTCAGAGTAGAAATTGGGGCTGGAACTGCTGCGGCCACGGCTATAGCCTCTGTGTCCACTAGATGGCGCTGGCCTCAAGCCATTGGAGAAAGTGGAGCTGGGCTGGGAGAAGGCACGTGTCTCTGGGGGAAACTAGATGCCTTTGTTTCTGACTTGTGACCTGGGTTTCTGGGCTCTAGGAGAAAGAGCAGATAATATTCACCTGCACTGCCCCGCAGGCACAGGGTCGGGCGGAGAGGTCAGCTGAGCTGGGGCCTGGCTGTGGCTCCGTTTGACCGTGCAGCTGCTTGGGGTGGACCACCCTGGCAATGGGAGGGGAACCTTCAGAACCCTGCTGGGTTCAGGCACCCCTCCCGGCGTCAGGACCGCTGGGTGGGAGCCGGCCTCCTGCTCCTCGGCTGGCAGGGCAGAATGAGACGTCCAGTTCCAGACGGGGCCAGTGTATTGATTTGGTTTTGCCTGACTGTCTCTACTGGGGCATCTTATCGGGCCAGAAGGAGCCGGGCACTTATAAACGAATGAAAAAGGGAATCAGCAGCAGCAGAAAAACAACACCCATGGTGCTTACCACCATGTAAGTACAAAGGCAGCATGGATAGAGCGCTGGGCCTGGATCGGAAAGACCTGAGTTCAGATCCAGCCTCAGACACTTTTCCTAGCTGTGTGACTGGCTCTGTTTTTGCCTTGATCCCCTGGGGAAGGAAATAGCACCCCGCTCCAGTATCTTTGCCAGGAAAATGTGATGGTCTATGGGGTCAGGAAGAGCCAGACGCAACCAAACAGCAATGCAACTAAAAGGAACCGAAACAGGAAACTAAACAAAGCAATTATAATAACAAAGTTAGTCTGTGTAGACAACAAGGTGGTTCAGTGGATAGAGCTGGGGACGCCGAGTCAGAGAGACCTAGGTTCAAGGCCTGCGCCAGGCTCTTCCTAGCTGTGTGACCCTGGGCCAGTCACTTAACCAGCATGCCTCAGTTTCCCTGTCTGTAAAATGGGAACACGAATAGCATCCACTTCACAGAATTATTGTGAGGATCCAAAAAAATAGCGTGTCAAGTTTTGCAAACCTTAAAGCTCCATAAAAATGCTGCCATTTTTTGTGAATAAAAAGAGAGATGAAAGTGCACCTCCATCCCTGTGTTGGAGGGGAGGTGACTTTTTTAAAGTGCCCACCGTGCTAAGCACTTTACAAGCGTCTCATTTGAGATACACACATGTGTGTAAGTGTTGGTTAGCTTTGTGGAACTGTTTTTTTAAAAATTACCATTCTTTACTGTCAGAGCTAATTCTTCTAGTTGGGGAGGACCATTTGGCCATAAGGGTGTGGCCCCTCTGAGTGCGGACAGATGAGTGTTGACTTCTTCCTGTTGACCCTCCTGACTGCTTCCTCCGGACCAAAGGGGCCAAGGCCTCTCTTAGCCATTCTCCAGAACCGGAGGGAGGCCCCCAATGGATGGTTGAACTGTCGGATGGAAGGAGTCAGCTTCCCAAACGCGCGGACTTTGGGTATCGTTGGATTGTGGACCCTCTGCCAGTGTGTTTGACTACAGCTGCTGTCTTTTTCTTTGTTTACTTCAGATACTTCTGATGAGCAGAATTCACAGTCCTCGATGGAAAATTCAATGAACAGTTCAGAGAAAGTCGAAGTGCAACCCTCTGGGGACAACAGTATAACCACAGAAGCATCAAATAACTCTCAGGTACTGACCTCTAGACGCAGAAGGGCAGCCAAGTTTCCCAGTGGTTCTTTTGTTTGAGGGAAAGGAGGGAGGCAGGCACATTAAAGAGGCATTATTCACATTGATTTTTATCAGTATCTGACGTCAAAGTGACCCCAGCGCCAAGTCAAAACACTTCAGTGGGTCCTTTATTTGTGTCTTTTTTTTTTCTTTTTCTCTTTCTATTTTGGTCTGAATTATGAAGAAAGCTGGCTCTTATCAGGTGGCACGATGGATATAGTGCTGGGCCTGGAGTCAGGAAGGCCTGAGTTCAAATTCAGCCTCAGATACTGACTAGCTGTGTGATGCCAGGCAAGTCAGTCGGCCTCAGTTTCCTCATCTGTGAAATGGTGATAACAGCAGCATCTTCCTCCCAGCATTTTTGTTGTTAAATTATTATTTGTAAATCAATTTGGAAACCTTAAGGCACTATAGAAATACAAACTATTGTTAGTGTTCTTAGTATTATCATTCCTGTGGGTCCCGTGAACCCAAACCTCCTCCTCTAGAACTGGTCAAAACCAAGAGCTCTCAGGGCATTCATTCAAACGTTAAAGCCCAGGAAGAATAGTTGTTGAATCTTAACTCTAGACTCTATCCTGACCAGACAGCCTGGGCATAGTGGATAGAACAGAGGTTCTTCATCTAGGATCCGTGTACTTGTTGTTTTAAAGGGTTCTGGATTTTTTTGTTTTGTTTTTTGGTGAGGCATTTGGGGTTAAGTGACTTGCCCGAAGTCACACATCTAGTGAATGTTATGTGTCTGAGGCCAGCTTGAACCCAGGTCCTCCTAACTCCAGAGCCAGTGCTCTATCCACTGTGTTCAGTGGCCTGGATCCTTTTGGCAGTCTGGTGAAGACCCTCCTCAGAAAAAGTTCTTTTAGAGGCAGTTAGGTGGTGCAATGGATAGAGTGCCAGGCCTGGAGTCAGGAAGACCTGAGTTCAAATTTGGCCTCATAGTAACTGTGTGACCTTTGGCAAGTCTTTTAATCTCTGTTTGCCTCAGTTTCCTCATCTGTAAAATGGGGATACTAAAGCAACTACCTCTCAAGATTGTTGTAAGAATCAAATGAGATAATATGATGCATGCAAAGTATGTTGTAAATCTTTAAAGCACAATATAAATACCAGCTGTGATTACTAACCCCCAAGTCTCTCCTTTGAAATCATAGTATGCTCACCTAAGGCAGCCAAGGTCCTGAAAATATTGAAACTCCATCTAGCAAAAATACTTTCCCTTCACTGAACTTTTCCTTAGTTTATAACAGTCCAAGATTGTGGAACTTGGGTCTTTTCTTCTTTTTTTCCCCTCTTTTTTCCTTTCTTTTTTCTTTAGATTAAAAAAAATTGATTTTATTTTTCCGTCACCTTAATTTCCTGATATGCCTTGGCCCCAGCACTTCAGTAGAGCCAGCCACCTCTGCAAAGGAGGGAGGGAGGTGAATTCTTGTCTCTTCTTTTGGGCCATTTCTAAGACACCACTTGGTAGAACACAAATTACAGCAGGATTGAAAAGAGTCCAAAGACCTGAGTTCAAGTCCAGCTGTGACACTAATTTGTGTCCTTAGATAAATCACTCGACCTTTTGGGGACCTCACTTCCCTCATTTTTGAAATAAAGATAAAAATCCCTTCACAAGGCTGCCGTGAACACTATGTTGTTATCTCAACTAAGATAATTTGATTAGAGGTATTTATGATGTTTTTATTTACTCCAGAAATCAAAATCACATGGAAAAAATTTCACAAAAGAGAAATAAACATAGAAATGTGAGCCACTTTTATCTATATTTTTATAAGTAGCGAAGTAGAACATGAATGAGTTCTCTCAGGATCATCCAGGCTTGTAGACTTAAAGCTGGCAGGGACCCCAGAGGCCGCCCATTACACAGATGAACATACAGAGGCTCAGGTGAAGTGATTGACCCAAGATTAAACAGATAACAAGGAACAGAGTCAGGACTGGGGAGTGTGGGGGAGAATACTGGGGAAATTGATTTTCCTAAAAGCAAATAATTTTTGAAGCCCCTGAAAAATATACACCACTAGGATTCTCTTCTGATTCCTTGTGGCCTGGAGTCTTTCAACTCTGGTTTCTTCAAAGCTTTGTCCCCAGAGAAAGCATAAACTTTGGGGCTGGATACCCTACTGCATAATAAAGAATTGGGGTACAGCCCCTTCCGGGTGTCTCTTTTACAGGGACCTCAGTTTAGCTGACTCTGGTTTGTTTTTATCAAGTTTCAAGGTATGTATGTGTGTTTGTGTGTGTGTGTGCGTGTGTGTTTTAAATGAGACAACTGAGGTTAAGTGACTTGCCCAGGGTCACACTGCTAGTGAGTATGGAGTGTCTGACTTCAGATTTGAACTCGGGTCCTCCTGACTCCAGGGCTGGTTCTCTAGTCCCTGCGCCACCTAGCTGGCCCCGTGTTTCAAGTTTTTTTAGTGAGGTGACAAAAGTTTTAGGGTAGATTGTACAAATCAGGACATTTAATTGCATTGGAATGAGCATTGTGCTTGCTTCCTACTGTACAAAGCAAATCTGAATGTCTTGTGTCCCAGAGGATAGGCCAGGGATTCTGCAAGGTCCAGTCTCAGTAGATTTGGAGAGTCGCTGGCTAACAGACCCAGACAAGGGACCTTGGTTGGAGACCATCTAGTCCAGCAATCTCATTTTACAGAAGAGGAAACTGAGTCTCAGGGTGGTAAAGGGTCCATGGTACTACAGTTAGTCAGCATCGTAGCTTGTATTGAAACCTAGGTTCCTTTAGAGCCCTTATACCAAGCCCTTACAACAACCCTGGGATCAGGCACTATTATTATCCCCATTTTACAGTTGAGGAGCTCGGGCAAGCAGAGGTTTAGTGACTTGCCCAAGGTAACACGGCTAGTAAATGTCTGCCTAACTTTTTTTCCTCCCCCAGCTACTTCACTCACAAAAGCCATCTGATAGGTTGAGGGTTAAAAAAAGGACTGCAATCTAAAATTCTGCACTGCCGGCTCCCTGAAGTATACAAAATGAACCCACCACGCCAGTGTATTTCAGGCAGGACATCACCTCTGGCAATCAGACTTCCAAATTTAGTCCTTTTTAGAAAGACTAGCCCAGTCCTCTCTTTGCACAGAGGCCATTGGAGTATTCTCACTGAGGAGTATTGCATTGCATTGCATTTTAATCTCATTCTTTTTTTCCTTTCTTTCCTCCTACCCTTCTCCCCTTCTTTCAGGATTCGGAAGGAGCACCACCTTCTAAAAAGATGAAACTAGAGGCTTCCCACCAAAACTCCGACGAGATTTAGACGTGGAAGTAGCTTTTTCCCGTCCCGTTTTTACCGAAGGTACACCGGTGGGGGCTTCATTCTAGAACACCCTGACCTACGCAAGCTTCTCTTGGATGAGAACAGAACTCCTAACTTTTTAAAGTTTACTGAGCAAAAAAAAAAAAAAGAAAAAAAAGAAAAAAAATTCCAAGGAGACCTAGGAAGGTGTGACTTGTCTCAGACACTGAAAAAAAATACAACATGGAACACTGTTTTATTTTATTTTATTTTATTTTTCCTGTGAAAGCAAACGTTCGGAAGTTCTAAGTTACTGTCTTCGGCAAGGTTGGAGTCAACAACTCAGGAGGGTCTAATGCACTGTTTCTTTAAAAAAAAAAAAAGGTCCCAGTTACATTTATGTTGCTGCTGTATCTTTTCATTTCTCTATTTAACCATGTAAGGTATTTAAGGATGGTACAGGTCAGTTATTTGCTTTTTTTCTTACTTGTTCCAGCAATCCCATCGGCTTTGTTTTGTGCCTTGTGTCCCTGAGAACAGCTCTCAAGGTCTGGTTTTTCCCCCTCTCCCAATCCCACCCCCATCTCCCCAGTTGCTTTTTTATTTCTTTTGCCAAGTGCCCTCTTGTTCCTAGGCTGCTGCCAGCTCATTTGTGATCCCTGCCCTATCCCTACCTCGAGAGGAGCAGAGATGGAGGAGAAGTGGAGACCGTTGGCCATTTTCCCCCTTGGAAAAGCCGAGGCTGTATGCACACGTTTGGGGTTTGATCAATCTAGCCCCGAGATCCAGGCCCTGGTGCGGATTTTCCCTTGGGGTCGTGGGGCAGGGGTGAGGGCAGGGGAGGGGAGGCTCACCACAGGCTCTCCCAAAGTGGCCTCCTTCGGTGCCCCCAGAGGAGGGGCTCCTGGCTGGGGATGCATAACAGCGCCCCAGTTTGCTGCTTTTTTTTAAATCTCTTCTGGGAAGCTGAGCTCCATCCTGGGGGACACCCCACCCCCGGCCCCGCCTCCACTGGCCATAGCCTTGGGACCAGGTTAATGATTGTGCAAACTCCTACTTTAGAATTGTCCCAGCGCTTCCAATCCTTACCCTGAAATGCATCTGTCAGATCTCCAGGATGGAAAATGGCATGTTTTTTTTTTTAATTGATGTGTTCCTTGCAGGCGCTAAATCAAGGAGAGGGATGGGTGGGATGGGGAGAGGCCAGGATGAGCTGGTGCTGACCTCACCTTTCATAGGATGTCACATGCTCTGCCCTCTGCCTCCCCCCAGCCCTCTCAGCCTTCACCCTTCCCTTCTGCCAGAGCCAAATCCTCCCTTTCTTGTTTATTCCTTCTGGCCTAGCAGAAAGGGTGTCTTTCAGACAGGTAATGCCTCTGCTCCAGAAATGGGCCCTGCAGAGAGGTGGAGGAAACTTTGCGCCCTTTGGGAGCGCAGCGGTAGCATGGCCCTTGGTCACCTGCACGATTCAGGTGACCTTTGTTCAGATGCAAGTGCCCCTTCTGGGTATGGTTAGGAAAGCTAACTCTTCAACGGGAGGCCTTCGGGCCTGGCCTGTTTGGTCTGGGATTCCTCTCCTCTTTAGGGGATGCTTTCAGCTTTCTCTCTTAACAGCCTTTCCAGTTGTGGATTCTCTCTGGACGTCCGTCCCCTTAACTCCGGTGACACCTCCGCCAGCGGCTGACCGCCATCACCTCGAGCGTCTCCAGGCTTGGTTTTCTATGACTTTACAAGGGGGTCTGGCTTTTCTTTTTTAAATAAGTCTATTCCTGCACTTCGAGAAAAAAAAAGTTTAAAAAAGGAAAAAAAAATGTTCCTGCATTTCAAATACCTCATGCAAAATTTCTCCTTAAATAAAGGGAAAACAACTCAATCTTGAATTTTGAGTTAGTGACGCTCAAAGGGTAGCTCTCTTTTTAAAACTTAAAAAACAAACAAACAGATCCTTGTATCCATGAATTTTTCTCCCCTGGGCAGTCATTCATGCTGTGAGAACTGTGCATTGCAATATCTAAAAAAGAAGGAAATGACCTTGATTTCCCTTTCACTTTGTGAGGTGAAAGGCTTTATCTGCAAACCCTACAACGACCTTTGATTACAGCTCATCTCATTTAGATGAAATGAAGGTGCATTTAGAGCTTTCTTTCCTTTTCTTTTGGGAGACCAGAGGTTCCGGTACAGACAGCCAGAGGAAATGGGTTTTTTTGTTTTTAAAGAAAGGACATGAAGTTCGAAGTTCGCTGGGGTTGTTCACATCTCTTCAGCATCATCCCCTCTCTGACCGATGGAGTGAGGATGAAACGCTGAGACCGCCCCTAGTCTTTCTCTGAAGTGCCTGAAAGTAGGAACGGACCCGCTGCCACGCTCGGGGGAAAAGGGGGTCATGTCGGACCCCAGCGGTCAGAAGGGCGCTCTGAAAGACATGGGCAAACACAGGTTGGCCTGCCCTGGGCTTGACGGTGACTGAAAGTTCTTCTGCTGACCACATTTTAGAAATAGTGCAAAAATCCAGATGTGCTTCCTGGGCGACCACGCCACCCCGTCGCCACCCGGGCACCACCCGTCGTAAAGGAGCCTGCGGCTTGAGCGGAGGACAGGGAAATAGACCCAGAAGCCTTCCACAGAGACAAAACGCTTGGCCAGACCGGCCCCTTCCCCTCCCAGGATGAATTTGAACTTATTCCTTTGGGTAGGGGGCCTGTTTTGTGCCGGGACACCGCAGGGACACATTCCAGATAGTGCTGGCACTTCATGAAACCAACCATCGACGACCCTCAGGGCAGTTAGGGTCTCTCTTTTCTGGGTGGTGACCTCCTTTCCTAAAAGTGTAATGGTTTGGAATGTTTGTTATCTCTAAGGACCTGTTAGAAGGTGTAAAGAATTTTTTTTTTCCAATACCTAATCGTTTTTTTTTTTTTGTTCGGTTTTTTTCCCCCCTTCTCATGATTTTTTTTTCCTGGTGTGTTGTATAGAGGTATGATTTTTTTTTCACTTATTTATTCCATCAGTAGATATGGTTTGTACAATGTACAATGACTCCCATTTAAAAAAATAAAAGAAAAAATTAAAATATGAATGCCACACTCTTGTTGTCTTGTCTTTGTCAAGTCAGAGGCTGCTACTTTAGGGACATAGGCATGGCTAGGCAGTGGGGTTAAGTGACTTGCCTAGGGTCACACAGCTAGTAAATGTTAGGTGTCTGAGGCCAGATTGGAACTCAGGTCCTGCTGATTTCAGGGCTGGTGCTCTAGGTGCCTGCCCCAGCATGGCAGTTCTTGAGTGAAACTCGGGTGAAAATCCACTTCCAACTTAGTCCTGGAAGAGTAGCCCAGGTCTCAGAGAAATAAAATAACCTGCCTGAATTCAGACAGCTAGGTAAATGTCCAAGACCAGATTTCAGCTAGGTCTTCCTGACTCCAAATCCAGCATTCTGTCAGTCAGGCAGGCATTATTTATTCAGGGCCTTCTGTATACCTGGCACTGGGGAGAGAGACAAGCTAAGCCCTGCCCTCAAGGAGCCCACAGTCTAGTGGGGGAGATAAAATGCAAACAGCTGCATCCCTTCAGGATTTGTATTGAGTAGAAGGCCATTAATGCAGGAGGAGATGTGGCCTGGAAACGGTCCCTGTACGAGGTAGAATTTGAACTGAGCCTTGAAGGAAGCTAGTGACACCCATCTGGCAAACGTTTATTATGGAGTTGGACCTACCGGAGTCCCGGGGTTCAAATCCCACTTTGACATTTAGCAGTCATGTTAATACAGGTGAATCTCTTCACCTCCCTCAGTTTCCTTATCTGTCAGATGAAGAAATCTGCACACACAGTTGTTGTGAGGACAGTGTCTTGTCAATCTTAAAACACAAATGAAATGTGAATTGTCTTCTGAGCACCACAATTTCTTCCCTAGAGCATTTATTCATTCTGCAAATGTTTATGTTTATTATTTTTTATTTCATTTATTTATATTTTATTATTTATTATTAAATGCCTACTGCGTGCAAGGCACTATAGCAGGTGCTGAGGGAAAGAAGTTTGGATAAAACAGCTGTGTGTAGCATCCTTCTACTGTCTGTATCTCAGTTCCTTCAACCAGACTGTAATCTCCACGAGGGCAGGGCCCGCATCTTACAGATTTCTCTACTATAGCATCTAGCACATAGTAGATGTCCAATACTTGTTTGGGTTTTTTAGTAGAGACAGTGCGAAAGAGTTTTTCAAAGGATTGTCAATATTGTTAGCTTTTGAAAGTTGTTAGAAAGGCTGGTGTTTGTACTGGGGTGGTGGTGGAGGGGAGGATTTGGTCAGCCAACATTTATTAAGTGCCTGCTATGTTCCAGTCACTGTGTTAAGCACTGGGGATACAATGAAAAGGCAAAAGATAATCCCTGCCCTCAAGGAATTTACAGTCTAATAGGGGAGAAGGCATGCATGTAAATGATGCGGTACAAGATCTATGCAGAGTAGATAGATGGAAGGCATTAGCATGGGGGAGTCCAGGAAAGGCTTCCTGAAGGAGGGAGAAGTTCAGCTGAATCTCAGAGGAAGCCAGCAGTCAGAGGTGAGGAGGCAAAGAGTACTAGGCATGGGGTATGGCCAATACACGGAGTCAAGAGATGGGTGTCACATGTAGGTAGGAGCAGTGATCTAGTAAGTCATGAGAAATCCATTGGCAGGCAGATCTCGGGGGTCATCAGGCTTGGGCCGCCCCGAGTCGGTACCACGCCATTGGCCCCAAGAAGAACCAAGCATGAGTCAGAGAAGTCCCAGAGGGATGCGTGTATGCAAACAGGTTGGAAACTCATATTGTAAAATCATGTTGGAAACTATTCCTCCATTGTCACTGGCATGATGAACTTTCAAGAAAAGGAAATGTAAACAAGGAAGGTATCTAGTATCTAGTATCTAGGGAAGGCAGCTAGCTAGGTGTCGCCATAGTGGATAGAGCTCCAGGCCTGGAGTCAGGAAGACTCATCTTTCTGAGTTCAAATCTGGCCTCAAATATTTACTGGCTGTGTGACCCTGAGCAAGTCACATAATCCTGTGTGCCTCAGTTTCCTCATCTGGAAAATGAGCTGGAGAAGGAAATGGCAAACCACTCTAAGTCATCTTTGCCAAGAAAGCCCCGAATGGGGTCACAAAATGTTGCATGTGACTTGAACAACTGCAGGCCGTATGGGATGTTAAGGGGTATAAGACACGGCCTTCATCCTTAAGGGGCTTCATTCTTTCTGGCCACAGCACCGCAAAAGCCTGTGTCACAAGCGTCAAGAGTCAGGGACCAGTCCCTGAGGCCCCTTGATGGTGCGCCATCTGATTGTGGTCGGCCCGGGGCTTCAGGGACAACGACAAAAACCTTCCCAGTTCCCTATTAACTACAGAACTGTGTGTCCTCACAAGAATGGGTAGTACAGGTCCAGTAGAGTCTGCTTACCATGGGAGCTTTGGTGCAAGACAGTGTGAGAGGAGCTTCCACCTTCCAAATTGTCTCTAGCCTCCATTACAGCAGCTTTCTCGTTCTGGCATATCTCGGTATCCCACCTCACCTTTCTGCTCCCTCTGTGCCTCAGTTTCCTTATCTGTAAAATGAGTGGTTTGCCATTTCCTTCCCTAGCTCATTTTACAGATGAGGAAACTGAGGCCAACAGGGTGAAGTGATTTGCCCAAGGTCACACAGCTATTTGCTGAAGCCAGATTTGAACTCAGGAAGGTGAATCTTCCTGACTCCAGGCTCTATCCACTGTGCCACCTAGCTGCCCACCCCCATTTACTTACCAAACAAAAATATGGAAGTTTTTATGTGACATTCAAGGCCCTCCCCAACCTGGTGCCTATCTATCTTTCTCAGAGAGTCTTATCTCATATTAAGATACTTTAGGAACTGTAGGCTCCAGCCAAACTGGATTGCTGCCTCTACCCCTAATCCTCTGGGGCTTTGTTTATACTATCAGTCATTCAACAAGGATATACTATAGTGACAGGGTGCTGGGAATATGAAGGAAAAAAAAGTTACATTCCCTGCCCTCAGGGAACTTACATTCTATCAGGGGAGCCAGCACATACATATGCAGGATGTTCCAAATGTCTTAGTGATATTTTAACAGACTAAAGCTTAAAACCACGCTAAGACCTTTGGAACACCCTGTATAAGTATATATAAAAATAGATTCAGGCTCTTGGGGCTAGGGAAATAGGGGGAGGGCATTAGTAATCAGGAAAGGCCTTGAGTAGAAGGTAATGATTGAGCTTCCAAGGAAACCAGGGATCCTAAGGGGGAAAAAATGAATGTCTGAAATGCCTTCTCTTGCCCTCTTCACCTGTTGAATTCTTCATTGCTGTTATTCAGAATGTCCAACCCTTCATGGCCCCATTAGGGACTTTTATGGCAAAGATGCTGGAGTCATTTACCATTTCCTTCTCCAACTCATTTTACAGATAAGGAAACTGAGGCAAATAGGGTTAAGTGACTTGCCCTGGGTCACACAGCTGAGTGTCTGAGGCTGGATTTGAACTCATGAAGATTGATCTTCCTAATTCCAAGCCCAGTGCTCTATCCACTGCGCCATCCATCCTTTAAAGATCTATTCCAATGCCACCAAGCCTTACTGGATCAGTAATAGCTGTCCTGCTCCAACCTCTCAAAGCAGTTAGGCAGTCTGTTAATAAACACCTATTATGCTAAGTGCTGGGGATAAAAAGAAAGGCAGAAACTACAGTCCCTGCCCTCAAGGAGCTCACAGTCTAGAGAAGAAAAGGGGCAAAGAAAAACGACGTAGACAAGATATGGTACAAGGTAAGTTAAAGATGATAGTGTTATAAATTGGAGATAAATTGGAAATAATCAATGTTATAAATAGGAGATAATCAGTAGGAAGAAAGCACTAACCTTTGTTCTGCCCCCTCGCAAAAGCAGTTAGCGACCTTCCCTTCCTGTGTTTTTGTCTTCTCCTCTACTAGACTGTGAGCCTGGTGAGGGTAGGAGTTGTGGCTTTTCTAAATTTTGTTATCTCCCCCAGCACCTGGCACACCGCCCCATACACAGCAGGCATTTAATAAAGAGTTGAGTTCAAATATGGCGAGGATTCCTGCACGAGATTTGGTACAAGGAGAGTGACTCGAAGGCATTTGATGAATAAGTAGTAAGCAGAGACTCAGCCACACATTCCAGTTGCTTCCTGGAGCTTATCTCCCCTGAAATAGAAGTCATTCCTTTTGATCATGTCTTTCAACAGCCCATTAACTGTGGAAAACTCTCAACACTGTGGATCCTAACATCCGGACATCAGGAGCTCATCAGTCCAGGCTTTGCAGCAGCCGAGATTTTCACTCGAACTCCATGGCTGTCAGTCAGCATTTACTGACCACTCAGCACAGGCCCCTGGAATTGCACGTCAGGCAACATGCATTTATGGTTCATGTCTGTCCTTCGTTCTTGAAGAGGACCATGGCATCAGGAAGGCGATGCCATGGCCTGCAAGTGAATTGTATATAAGTGAGAGAGGGCCGTGCACTTATTAAGCACTTACCGTATGCTTGGCACTGTGTTCGGGTCTGAGAATACAAAGAAAGGCAAAAACACTGTTCCTGCCCTTAAGGGGTTCACAGTCTACTAGGAGAGAAAAGACACACAGAGGAGATGGAAGGAAATCTCACCAGAGAAGTACTGGAACCTGAAGGGAAAGGCCTCCTGAAAGTAAGTTTGAAGCTGAGTTCTGAAAGAAGGCAGGAAAATCAAGAGGTAGAGGTGAAGGGCAGGGCATCCCAGGCAATGCAAAGGTGCAGGGACGTAGGATGGAATGTTGTATGTAAGGAATAGCAGTCAACCAGGGTAGCAGGAGTGGAGTGTGCAGAGGGGAGTAAGGGGTCTGACAACTGGGAAGGAAGTCGAAACAGGATTTTCCATTTGGTCCTGGAGGTGATAGGGAACCACCAGAGTTTATTGAGTGGTCACTCTATAGTTCTGAAGGATCACTTTGGCAACTGAGTAGAGAGACTTGAAATAGAGGGAAAAACCTAGACTACTGTGACTTTTAGTTCAAGTGAGAGGGGATGAAGGCTTCCACCCCAGGGGTGAGTGATGAGAAGG